AACAAGTCAAAAAAGCCAGAGTTAATTTTTTTTACAAAGTACTAGAATAAAATAAATTAATAAAAAAAAAACAAAACTGCTAAAGAAACAGTATTATTTTTGCAAAGTATTAAAAACATTAGAAAACTTGCACAAAGTATCGAAAAGTTGTTGGTATTTTTTAAAAAGTGCCAAAAAAGTTAGGGTTATTGTTCTTGTAAAATGCTAATATAAAAAAAAAGAAAACCAAAGCAAAACCAAAAAAAAAATAAAAATAAAAAAGATCTAATTATAAACAAAGATTTTGTTAAAAAAAAAAAAATAAACAAAGATCAAATCTAATCTTATAATACATGTTTTATATATTATTGAAATATTTCAAAAATTTTAGTTTAAGGATTAATCTAGATCCCGCACCCCTGCATGATACTTAAATTCAACTCCCAGGGTGTATTATATTTATATATCGCATATGTAAATGTATTGGATTTATTTTAAGCAAAAATTTTAGTAATATTGATCTTTGTGATTTATCATGTGAAATACTACTACTAGAAAATTTATATAAGATTTCTTTATTTGAAACTTGGAAAGATCACTTTACAAATTGTTGCACTACTAATCATTTAACTTCTACCCTTCTCCTTATTCTTGTGAAAAGCTATATTGTGACCTACTTGATTGCAAATGCGGTATTTATAAAACCCTCTATTCTTAGATCCACCCCGGTGGTCCTGCTCTTTTTCGGCACTACTGATATATCGCTGTTTTGGTGGCTGTCTTTTAATATCAACCTTGTTCAAGTTCTTTACATTTTTAAGGTTTTCTTCAATGTCTTCATTATGTTTACTTTTTGATTCTTCTGATTGATCGCTACTTTGATCGCTACTTTGATCTGTTTCAACTTCGCAGGTATTATTTGATATTTCATCAGTTGTGGATCTTTCATGTGCAGTATAATCATCTCCTTTACATTTTTAGCTGATATAACCTTGAAGATAAGTGACAATTTCATTATCGTCTTGTTTAACTGCAAGTAATGTAGCTTCTCAGGCTAAGTCCCACACATGGCCATACAAATTTCTTTTATAAATAGACTTTTTAAGCATGGTAATAGTTGTTGGAATCGTAGCAGGTTTTCTTATAGGTAAGATATTCTTGTCATTGAAAATACCCATTTCATAATTAAATATTGGACTTTCTAGAATGGAGTCATCTTGATAATGATCTTTATACCATCTCTTAGGTATCATGCTGATGTGGAATACCGTAGTTTTTGAGTGCATCATCACTCTAAAATAATGTTTACATATGATTCTTTTTGAGATTGATATTAGACATGAGTATAAGAAAGATACTGCATTAACTACAACAACAAAATGGACATGGTATCTTTTTTCACTTCTTATATCTGTAATTTTCCATATTTCTAATGCATCTTCTCATCCTACTTTGTTAATAAGTGCTTGTAGCATAATAAGGCGTGTATCATATTGGTCTTCGATAAATCCATCGTATACTAGTTGATTATTTTCCTTATCCTTTAAACCATCTAGTAGCCAAATATAGCTGCTAGAATATCTTTTTTTTATATTTTTTACAATAACATAAAATTTTATTAAGTATATACCCCTCTATTTCTAAGCTAAAATAAAAATTTAAAATATTTTTAATTAATATTAAGTAAAATTTTTGATTTAATTTAAATAGTATTAAGGTTATTTAGTTTGAAATATAGCCAATTCTAAAATTTAATTATTAAATTTTTAAAATATTTTTTATTAATTTTTAAATTTTTATATGTTTTTGTCTCTAAAAAAAATCTTTGCTATTATACAAAGTTAAAATTTTATTTATAAAATTATAAAAATTTTAATAATTAAAGTTATTTTTTAAACTAAATTTTACAATTTGTATTAGAATTATATAGTACTTATGTTTAGCATTTTAAAAAGTTGATTAATAAATAAAGATAAAATTTTGTATTTTTTTTAAAAAATTTTAATTTTTAAAATTTTTACTATATAGCCAATTTTATTTTTTTTTTTATAATTTAAAAATAAGTATTACTATTTTATAATCCTTATTTTTAAATATTAATATATAAAATTTTTTTAAAATATTTTAAATTTTGACACAAATAGATCAAAAACAATTTTAGCAGCCAAATATAGCTGCTAACTGCTGATGGTTTAAGAGATAATCTTATTTCTTTCTTATTTAAACAATCTTTTTCACAATTTCTATCTATCTCAAAACCAACTTTAAACTTTTTTATTTTTGAACCAAATCAATCCTTATTTGCTACTTTTTTAAAACCTTTTCCCTTTAAATTTCTTAAGGAATTAGCTTATAAAGCAAAAGAATAATTTATATAACTTAATAATACTACACCTAATCCTAAACATAAAAGCTCTTTTTTCTATATTTTTCTTCAAAAATTTCTTAACCAAGCTGCTTTAAATAACAATATAATTAATTTTAATTTCAAAAATGCATTATAATATATTTTTTCTATCTTTACAAACCCCTATCACTTTGCTAATGTTATAGCTTACTTTAATATTATACAATTTTCTACTTACCCAATTTCTTCAATTTTTTTTCAATATTATTAATTTTATCTTTCTTAAGCTATATAATATATTTTTAAAAAACTTCAAATTCCAACAATTAATACTGATCTTTTTTTTTCAAATTTTCAAATATTTGATTTTCAGATTCACTCTTTTTTTTTTCTTAGATTTTTCTTTTCTTTTCTAAATATCTTAATTTTATTTTAACAAAATCTTTTAAACCTTGTTTTAATTTTTATTATAACCAAATTTAAATTCTTTTATTTAAAATAGTAATTTTAAACAAAACCAAAAATATAACTTTCTTGCTATTCTTTTTCTTACTTTTACTCTCTAATCTTTGCTATATTTTAATAGAATTAAACTTACTTCATTTATTCTTTCTACTATTACTACCTTCTTTACTATTTTTATTTATATTTCTATACATTATATTTACTATTTTTAATTTATTTACCAACTGTGCTCTTCTTTTATACCAATATTTTAGTTCTGAATCCTTCTTAATATTCTTACTTGCTAGTCTTGCTTTTCTTTCTTGAACATGATTATCTAGTATTTCTAACCTTCTTGTTAAAAATCTACTTTTATATAGGAACTACAAATTTATATATATATTTTTTTATTTTACTATTTTAGTTATCTTTACTTTATCTTTATTTCTCTATTATTAATATTACTATAACATACTTCTCTTCCTTTGATCTTTCTTCTATCATATCATCAAAAATCTCAATCACTTCTTTGTTTTCAACTTCAACTATTTCTTTTTCTATAAACTGATTTTTTAAAACTTCTAATACTTCTTTATTTTTTCTTTTGATAATAAGCTTCTTTTATAACTACACTTCACATAACTTTTCAAATAATTATGCTTAGTCATTATTCTAAGCTTCAACAATTAAATCTACAAAACACAATTAAAATATCTCTAATATACATAGTACAAAATTCAATCAGATTATCAAACACATATAGACAAATTTAACAAATTGATTGAACAATCTATAATCAAAAAACAAATCTTCAAAAAATATACAAAAATTATTTTATTGTATATACTTAGTTGTAGTATAATAAATAGGATATTTGTAGCTATTGTTAGGCTGTGAGTTTAAGTCTATCAGTAGTATGTCAGATCTAGTACACTATAATGACATTACTGACTACAACAACTGCAGTTTTTTATTCAATTTTTTTCTTTTCTTTTTTTTATATTATTATTTAATTTACAATACTTTTATTATTTTAACCTTATTACAATTATTTAAACATTAATATATTTATATTTTATTAACTTTCTTTAAACCAATTTATTCTACAATTAATCTACATTTTATGTATTTTATAGTACTACTATAAAACTATAAAACTTTATACATATCTAGAGCTTATTTAGATTTGTATAAAGTTTTCAAATCTAGGTGAGTTTTGGCTACTCTAGTAGGTTTAGGTCGCAGATAATTAGTTTAAGCTTTTAGTTTGAGCTTTTAGTCTGAGCTCTTATTCTTGTATATAATTTATATATATTTGTCTTTGTACAAATTAAGTTTTTATATAGTTTTCTATATAACTACTTATATAAATTAATTAATAAAGATATGAGCAAGGCCTTATCTTAATACCAAAAAAAAAAATATATATATACTTATATTTAAATATCCTTTGACCAATTTGACCAATACTAAACTCTTTGACCAACTAGTCAAATTGGTTAAACTGGTCTGGTCAAGCTTTACCATTAACCAGTCTGTGTCAACCCTGAATATATCTAAATCGGTGCTTAATCATGTGATGTGATGATCATGAAGGGTTCCTTGTTTTTCAAACTTCCCGAGGAGAGTTATTTAACTTAATATTGACGTTATTAGAAAGGTTTGTAGCGAAACTTTACGAATAAATGAAGGTTTGTGAATACGAGACACGAAAGGCTAGGACTAGGGCCACTGTAGTTGATTAGATAGTGCACTGGTGGATGGTCAAGTTTTGTACTTACGTACAGTAATAATATAAGGGAAAATCTCCAGTTGAAACACAGTAATTAGGTCACAATTAGGTATATACATACGTACAAAAATTTATAAGCATCAGATTACAATACAAATTTATGAGTAAAATTCATAAGCAATTCATTATCGGGCTTACAATCTCTGATCAAAAAATCACTTTTATTCTCAATAATCATGCATATCACATAAGCGATTGGCTCAAATTTTATTTAACCTAATCATTCACCACGAAATCGCCCATATGGCTATGTTGTTATAATAATTGAAAATAAATAAGATTGCCAATAAAATTGAAATACGCTATCTATAATTTAGAAGGACTTAAATACAGGTCAATATTTGATTTTTTTCTCGTTTAAGAAGTAATGATGAAATAGTAATAATGATAAATTATGATTAAAATATAATGAATGCAATAGACCTTTAATGTAAGTAATCACGCCCAAATTGCTGATAATAAAAAAAAAAATTTTGGTAAGTATTTTGATTTTAAACACTTATCTTCTAACAATAATAAAAATGCTACACCATGGAAAAGTGTTACGTACCAATCACAGACATAATACCAGCACCAGTAATTAAACAACCGAATGCAGTGATTTTATCGGTTTTTGGAATTTTTTGAAATTCCGGGTCATAAATGAAGTCATTGGCAATAAGCTCGACCATAGCAGCATATAAAAGAATTCCAGCAGATACTGAATCAAAAACACCTTGCACAACAAGTGAAATATCTGAATTAGGGTTGTAGGAATTACGAATTAATAAGCCTATCATAATGCCTATTGGAGTTGTAGTTCCGTAAGCCAATGACATCAACCATGGTTCAAAACTGTTCGACCGAAATTTGAGCTCAGCAACACGAGAACCGATCCCAAGACCTTCAAACAACTTAGTTAAATATTGTTGGTATACGAATTGATTAAATATAATTAATATTAAGAGAAAAAATTTTTCATATAATTATTAATAAAAATGATACCTACTTGGTGAAATATCAATGCGACAAATAATGGAACAAATTCATCACCCGCGACGGATAAGGCCATTCCAATAATTACCGAATGAAAGCATATACCACATTCTAAAATAGTGATACCTAAGATTTGAGCCCGGGAGCTTAAAACGGTTTCAGCGGTATGATGAAGATGTTCAAAAGTGACATCCGGTTTTTCAACGGATTCATCAACGACATTAGTTGTACCAGTAGCTGTATCATTTATTTCATTATTCGAATTGGCATGAGCACCAAAATGATCGGCTATTTTTAACGCTGAATATTCAATAAAAAAGATGAATAATGCAGCCATCATTGCAATTGCACCTGGCCAAGAAGGGTAGTTTGTCCACACTGGCTGAAGGCATGGATTATTTAAAGCTCCGAATGCCGAAGGAAGCATATGTACTAATAAATAAAAATAAAAATTAAATATATTGGAATTAAATTTAATTTGATTCAAGTAAACAAAATTTTAATACTACCAAAAGCTGTAGCGAGAATTACTCCGCTTCCAAAATGTTTGGTAACTGTTTATTCATGAAAATAAAAATTGGTAAAAATTTTATCTAATAAATTAACGGTAATAAAGGAAATAAAATTTTATTTACCGAAAAATATTAAACTTGGAATCTTAAATGCAGGATACTTCTTGGAAATGACAGGTGTGAATGCACCTATTTTTAATACACATTTATGAATTTGAGAAGATTGTCAAAATTGTTTATTTTTATTTTTTATTTTTATTTTTTTTTACCGAAAGAGCTAGTACAAAGAATTACAAAAAGGGCTGCCAAGTGAAATCCAAAGTTATAAGAACTAATGTCGGGCTTAGATGAACATTGAGGTTGAGTATTAGAGGTGTCGTTGCCGGTGTTGTTGCTGGTATTGTTAGCTGTTTATGAGAGAAAATGAATAAGAAGCGTTCAAATTTTATTTATTTTTTTTAAATGCTCTGTATGACTTTTTACCATCTTGAGCCCAGACAGAACCGGTAATAATTGCAAGAAAGAAAATATAGCAAAAGTTTTGTGTTTTGAACATCTTTTTTTTTCTTAAACAAGGGAGAAGAAGGGTAAAACGATGGGAGTAAATTTTGGTGCCTTTGATAACCACCAAGGTACACAACATTAGGGAGTACCTTACAGGTTACTAGATTTAAGTGTATTTCAAATTTAACCATTGAGGTACTCAAAATATGCAAATGTACCGAACTTTTCCATTTTATTGCAGAAAACTTGCCAATTAAAGATATTTCGCATATGATGTCAATTTTTATGCTTTTAGTTTAACATTATTTACTAAAATCTTATATTTTCTGGCTTAATCAAATTAATAAAAAGAATCTGCCTTAAATTTAGAAAAACTGAGTTCTGTAAAATTGTACTTTTTTTCAAGTTGAACAAAAAAAACCGGGTTTTACAAGTTATTTGTTAATGGCGTCTATTTTTGTGTAGTTATTATCTATTGATCTAAACCCTTAACAGTTAATACAAATACTTATTTCCTTAATTGTGTATAGTTGTTAATTTTTGATTAAATATGACCCCGCAATCTGTGCATATACACTCACGGTCGGTATCACAATAGGTTGTGACTCTATATGCAATTAATGTTTTTTTCGTGTAGTGAAATCATTATAACATCATAGGCTCAATTACTCTTTGTTAAGTCATTAAATACGGTTATTCCCGTACTGTTATTTGGTATAATATACAGGTAAGAACGTTGATGTTATACGACTGATTTTTCACACGGTGTGCAACATATAAAAAAATAACTTTACAATACCAGATCATTCCGCTAGTACATGTTATGATTATAATCCAACACTATTTTTACTAATAAAAATGGTGTTGGATTATAATCATAACATGTACTAGCGGAATGTTCTGGTATTGTAAATTTATTTTTTTATATGTTGCACACCGTGTGAAAAATCAGTCGTATAACATCAACGTTCTTACCTGTAGGTATAATAGCTTACTAATCAATATTCGTTGTAAACAACCGGCTAATACCGATGGTCATATCGGGATCCTTTCCACAGCTAAATATATTTTTACAAATAAGTATACAATATTGGGCAAAAATTGTCGAATAACAGGTAATTTGGCAAATGAGCACGTGCCGCTTTGCGGCACGTGTAGCCAATCATTTGTCAAATTACCGTATTCGACAATTTGCCCAATATTGGTGTTATCCGGCAATTTATGATCATGATTGGTAGGGAGTCGCTCGCTGAGTTTTATTTTTTGAATATTGGAATAACATAATTATATCGTAACACATGAAAAAAATAACAGAAAGAAATTTTTTCATGATCATATGAGTTTGCCGGATAATATATAGTTATTGGCTGCTTCACATTCATTAACCACATATTGTTTCGTTATTATATGGTTTGTCAGTAGTGAGATAATACTCAGATATACCAATAAGGATGCAAGATCTGACGTAACAGTCTTTTTTTTTTTTTTTAATCAATTCGCAAACAAGTTTTTCGTAGACGATAGTCATTTCACAGAAAAATTTTTCTCTTGTATATTACACTAACTTTAAACTAACCCTAATGAGAATGACTAGAATTACTTTGTGAAATGAGCTGTTGGAAATGAGCTTATCGGTAAGATAAACTGTCTATGGATGTGAACTTGTCTGTGAATTGATTGTCTGTAAAAGAAGCGTCAATGATTAATTATATATGTTGTGCGTCAGCGTAGATTGCACCTGACGCACGTCAGATGACCATAGGTTGACCAGCATTAAATGATCGGCAATAATGGGCCTAAAAAAACTCCTAACTTTACCGTAATTTTACCCTAACCCTAATCTAACTTAGGCCGGGTGTCATCTGACGCAAGAATACATCTGAGGCACAACATATATACAATTTTTATAGACCAATATATTTTTTAAAAAATAAAATTTTTTAAATTAAAAATTAAAATTTTATTAACAGTACTGATCATGAAAGTTGGACCCTCTTCTATCTTTTTAAATTGTGAAACCATCTGTAGCTTTAAACTTTTATAAATAATATTATTCTAGAGTTTTACAATTTGATTTAATTTGATCAAATATTTGACTTTCAACCCAAATTCGATTTAATCAAATTCAAATCAGGAAATTATTTGATTTGATTTGATTGATCATTATAATAAAATATTTTTTTATTTGATATTTTGATTTTTATTTGTGCTTTGACCCAGGTGGGTTGGTACCTGGGTTAACTGCAAGTCACCCATCAGGTTTCCCAATGTATCAACCGTTGGATCACCTGATAGTCTTTAGATTTTGTACTGTTAGAAAATTTGGTTTGTTAAATAGTCAACGAGCACGGTTGTCGGGATTTTCGAGAGATAGGAAATTTTATGTGATCCGGGTGACCTGGGTGGATAAACGACCTGGGTGATTCATGGCCCACCCGACAGGTGACCTTAGTGGCGATTTTTTAGACAGTCAAATCATTAAACTTAAAAAAACAAATAATTCAAATATTTGATTTTATTTGAACTTAAGATTTTTTTTTATTAATAAAAGATTGCATTTATCACACGTTGTGGTAACAATTTCTCCTTGTTGAAGTATATTGTTAATATAGTTATCTGCGATATTAGTTTTCTTTTTGATTCTAGCTTGGTATTTTACAAATATTATTACTCTAGCAATTATTGTAATTGCTACTACTGTAATTATATCTTGGTTTATAACATTGGTATCATTAAAGTAGTTTGGTATTTTGGTTTGAATTACTACTTGGGTTCCAATTATGGTTTCGATGATTGTAGTTAGTATTGCTATAATTATTTCTGTAATTATTACTGTAGGTATATTTATGATAAATAATTCGAATTGTTGTTCTGCAACTAATATTGTTAATAATAAGATTAACAATAATAGTTTTATTTGTTTCTTCTTTTATCTCCAAATAATACGAATATTTTGTTAGAGTTTGGTTCTAAATAATTATCTTGAGGTCGATATATTGCATTTCTTCTTTTGTTATATTTATGTTTTTGGTTTCCTTTCTTATTAAAGATACAAAATATTTAAGAGTATGAGGTTAAGAAGTTAAATAATATGGTTTCTTGTTGCTATTGTATTTCTGGTATTTGTAGTAGTTGTTTATTTCAGTAGTTTTGGATTCTTCTTGTATTAAATTCTTGATTTTGTTGATAGTTTCTTTGATGTAATTTCTTTTTATAACAGGTTTTGTAAATAATTATTGAGATAATTATTGATATTATTACAAATATTCCTATAATAGTTGCAGTTATAATTATAATAGTTGTGGTATCAAGTTGAGGTATTGGTATTTCAGTAGTTGTCATTAAATTAACAATAGCCGGATGTTTGGTCTTGTTGATAATATGCTATGTTTGGATATTGTTTATATAGACATTTTCTATCGCATTGTTGTATATAGCAAATAATAATTATGGTAAGTAAGTACGGAGGTGTGGCAACCTAGTGTAGTGGTCTAGTTGTCACCCTCTCCAAGTGGCAGGTCTAGAGTTCAAATCCCACGGA